AGCTGTAGTTTATTGTATGTCGTCTTGTCTCAGACCAACATGGCTACCAAGTACACCCCTGTATCAGCAGTGATATTTAATGAATCTCAGGAATCTTTAGATGGTGCTGGTTGTTTGTTTGTTTTTTTTTGTTTTGTTTTTTTTAATTTAACTTCCCTGTTTGCCATTTCAGAGTACTGATAGTGTTAAACTGCATAATGAATTATAGCTTATAATCTAAAGAGTGACTAAAAGCATCCTTTCAATAGAGTTATCTGGTTCTTGTGGTTTTCAGGCTATACCAGCTTACTTCTGTGACAAAAATAAGCTCTCTTTGTTAATTATTCCTCATAACCCTCTGGAGGTAACATGGCGATAAGAGAGGAACGTTGGGTGCTTATCTGGTTTGGGTATTATTAAAATGGTTAATGAACTTCCAGTAACAGAATCCTGATGCATGAGCTGAGATTCTCTCTGCAGGAATAGCCTTTAAAAAGGAGATCTGATAGAGAAATGGTTGAACCAAATACTGAAAACCACTAATATATGTTGAATGATGTTTCAGAGCTATATTAGAATTTTAAGACTTGCACTGTATTCTTTATACAAGTTCCCAAAATAGTACTGATGCATGTTAGATGAACTCCACAACCCACTCACTGTTGCTAGCAAACCTCAGTGGCTTGCCAGAGGCCAGTAATACAGGCACTGTAATGAAGCTGTTCCAAGCAATTTTATAGATGCTACAGCCCTGCTAAACTGAATGATAACTTGGCTGGGTGAAAGCTACTTAGACTCTTTGGCATTACCCTCTTGGAACAGGTGTGTTTAGTGCCTAGTAACGTGTTGAACCATATGTTTTCAAGATCAAGGCTGCATGTCACTAGGGGAAACCAGTGTGTGTCGCATGTAAACATTTTGGTTAGAACAAGCACATGGGTAAAAACCACGGTGACAGAGCTGAGTGACTTTTTGTGGTTTTGGTGACCTGTTACAATAATTCTCCTTTTAGGTTAATAAAGAAATTGAACCAGCAGACGATACTGCAGGTCTCCTGTGGCAGTTGGCATTGCCTTGCTCTCTCTGCCGGTACTGTAACATTTAGTCTCCTTCATTTGTGATGTGTTAGTGCCTGTGCTCTGGGGTTTCTTGGTGTGAGGGATTGTCCATGCACATAACATCCCTTCCCCAAAGAGCTTGCCACAAATTAGTTATGTAATCAAAGTAGACTGTTATGAAAACAGCTGGTGTCCAGAGTTGGAGAGAGGCCGTCCAAGGATATGATCAGAAAGAGCTGACCAGGGAGGGAGTGGTGGATGTGATGTACAGTTAACCAGTCTCCTGTGTGATGGTTAACAAGCCTTTTTAAAGCCTTTTGGTTCAAGCTAGAAAAATATGTCAGTAGTCTGTGGCATGGGGAAAATTTTTCTTTCCTAGGCTCTACTCATGAGCAAGCAGAGCTAGTGCCTTTTTCTGTTTTGCCTGGTAAGTTATAGCAATACTTTTTGTGTGCTTCACCAAAATTACCGTAAAGTTGCAATCACATTTAAATTTATTTGCCTTAGTTCCACAATTCATGTTTTCTTTGTTCCGCTATTAGCTAAGTTTTACTTACTGATCTTAATTGGGCACTCTTATTTCAGATGGCCAGTTCTTCACCTGGGGGCAGAACAACTATGGCCAGCTGGGCCTGGGGAAAGAATGCCCCTCACAAGCCACGCCACAGCGTGTCAAATTTCTTGACGGGATTCCTTTGGCACAGGTTGCTGCTGGTGGGGCTCACAGCTTTGCCCTGTCTCTCTCAGGAGCTGTGTTTGGTTGGGGGAAGAACAGCTCAGGACAGCTGGGCTTAAGTGATGAACAAGGTATGAAAAAGTTTTTAGGTTATTTTTTGCTGAGCATGGCTTTTATTTTTGTAGTAATCATATACCTTGCGGTATATGATTTCTACCATGATGCACACCTTCTGTGAGAAAATAAAGAACTGCAGCTTCTTTGAAGAGACTTGCATACTTTTCATACCAGGTTCTTTTTGCAGCTATAAATGGGACTCAGCAAGGTCAAAAGGAGTATGCCAAAATGTTGGCAACCTGGATAAGTAGCCTGGTTTGTGTCCCCCTACTTCTCCCAGTTCAGGGACACTGGGCATCTGTGACCCGCATTGAAGTCAGTGGAAGAACTGAAGTCCATACATGAAGATTAGTCAGTGGGATCAGGGTTGCTAGTTCGCTAGCATGACTGCAGCCAACAGTCATTTATACAGAACTCAGTGACTTGTGGTACATGCATCCAGGACACTACATACTGCTAAATACTGCTTAGTTTATTGCTAATTTCCCTGACTGACCTGAAATAACTTCTTTGCAGAGCTTCTGTAGGAAAAACTTGCTGAGTTCTTGTTTCTGAACAGCCTTATAGCAAGATGCATGCTTTAGTGAATAAACTGCTTCCAAATATCCAATCTCAAATGTACTTCATGCTTCAGCCCTGTGCTGAAGCATGGCTGCTTTTGATAGTCTTAATCCTAACCTTATTTCTACCAGTTTAAACTCAAAAGCATTTGCCTGAGGTGTGCATTTGCAGGTTACCAGAGATTTCTTGGAGTTCTGTCCAAGTCTGCAGAATTGAAGGGCTATTCTTAGTTCCTCTATGTGTGTCATTTTGGACATAATGTTAACTACTAGAACCATCTGCCTGTTGTACCTGGGTCTCTATACCCTTGAGCAAGTTGCTCATGATTTGGAGCTGGAAAATAATTGTTAAGTACTTGAGGGTTTAGTCACCACTCCTCCCCCACAACCACTCCAAACACACCTTAAATACTGATTTGCCACAAGTCAGTTAAAGCTGTGGGTGCTTGTTGTGTCTGAAAATCAGGTCACTTTGAGTTTTTGGAGCATCTAATGACCGTATCAACTAAACTTCTCTCTTCCACTGTCTCTGATGCAGATCGAGAGACCCCTTGCCATGTGAAGCTCTTACGGTCTCAAAAGGTTGTCTATATCAGCTGTGGAGAAGAACATACTGCAGTTCTAACAAAGGTAAAAGGATCAATCTAGGAATTTCATACTGTTTTCTTGCCCACAGACTTATCTTACTTTGGCTTTCTGAGTGTTATAGCAGAAGAAACATGTGGCTTTTACTGCCCCTTTTCCTCCTGCCCCTACTGTAATTGTGTTGTTTAAATTTGAGATTAAGATCTTCATTTAATTTAATGACCAAATTATTCCCCGGTGCACACTTATTAAAAGGGTGACTGCAGATGACTGATCCATAACAATATGACATAAATGATGTTAACATGCTGGCAGATCCCCAAGAAAGACCTTTGAGAAGAAAATCTGTCTTCCTCCTTGGCTCTCGTCAAAGAGGTGGACTTAGGCATCCTGCTTTGACAGTTTAAAAGGGGACTGTTATATACCAGATTTGAAGTGAGCTCCACAGTTAAGGAGCTCTGAAAGAAAGAGTCATCAGTTTAGAAACTGTAGACCCCCTCTATGTATTGCATTTATACTGTGATTAATGAATTAATTTTGACATAAATGGCAAAGGTGCTGCACCTTTACTAAATTTAAAGTGCCATAGAATGTCAAACAAGCCATACAAATGTTCTGCATTATATGTAGAACATTGCAAGCTGTAAAACTGTTCTATGTTATATGACGAATGCTTTTTATGGCTGCTTTGTATGTGGCAGATCCATGGATGGAGCAGCTCTCTGGGAACCTGGCTTTCAACTTGTTAGTGCAGGGGGAGCCCAGGTCATGATCCCTGGCTCTCCCAGCACTGTCAGGTAGAAAGGATATGATTAGGACTTGATCTCTGATTCCCCAAATTGTGTCTCCTGGCATGTACAGGTGATATGGCAGGAAATACTATTGTTGGGATTGGGGACTAGATACCATGGCACCTTTAAATGAACACTTGCCAGGGGCCTTATAAAACAGGGCTTCATTTGAAGACCCCCCCAAGTTGAAGAACTAAGTGGTGTATAGGGGACAGTGTGGCCTTGTGAACAGACTATCAGAGTGGGGTTTGGGCATCCTGGGTTCCATTCCTGGCTTTTGCCATTAATCTGTTTGGTGACCTTGGACATGTTGCTACTTCAGTTTCCCCACTTGTAAAAGGAGGTGACAATGCTGCAGAATGTTTTGGGAGCTCTAAAAGAATTAAACAGTGGTGTTGTATATATGGAGAGGTGGTCTCTTAGATGTGGCTCCAGTTCAAAAAAAGTGCTGTTGAACAGATGCAGATGCAGAGGGTCACAGGAAGCAGTCTTGGGCATTCAGGCTATATGGCTATCTAAATGCAGCCGGGAATTATAGTAGATCTGATGGTGATAGAAAAAGTGGGTTGGATGTTGATGTGCCAACATACAAACCAAGATGCCAAAGATACATGATGTGCCAGGTCTATGACAGCAACTGAGTTGACCGTAAAACCAGAATACTCCACTGGGTGCTGTACGGCCAGGCGTACTGAAGGCCATTTTTTCTAGAATATCTATCATGGCCTCTGATTAGCTTGGGAGCAGTTGTGATACCAGGTGAAGAAAGGTGTTGCTGGGTATGGCTCACTAAATGGAGCATGTGCTGTTTGATTTGCTAACAGAGTGGAGGGGTGTTCACGTTCGGTGCAGGTTCCTGTGGGCAGCTCGGCCATGATTCCATGAATGATGAGGTTAATCCCCGAAGAGTGCTGGAACTGATGGGCAGTGAAGTGTCCCAGATTGCTTGTGGCAGGTGAGTGCTTTGTAGAGGGTAGCACAAGGAAGGGCTTTGGTACATATTTAGTGGTAGAAATTAATGATTTAGAGCTCTCTCAGTCTGGTAGTTCAGACTTAACAAAGTTACATCCTTTTGTACATGTGAAATACTAATGCTATCGCTGTCAGTTTTACTGTGGTCTGTTGCTGTGTATGCTCCTCCTACATCATACCAATCCAGATAGATTCTAACAGCCAGACTATTCTGCCTCTTGAACATTTATGTGGACTTAACTACTTAAGTGCAATTCTATTCCACCCTGTTTAAGTCTGTGAACATCCATTAATGCCTTGCTTTTGTAACACACTGTCCTCTCGCCCTTAAAACTGAGTCTTAAAAAAAAGCAGCGCAAGAGACCCACCTACATTTTTGTATTAACAGTTTTTCAGGGACTCAAGGTGGGTAGCTACCCAAATCCACTTGCACACTTGACTGGGTGGGATAGAATACAGACCTAAGTTACTTACCTCAATAATTTACAGTCTTTCAGGAGGCGGGCTGTAAATTATGAAATGCTAAATTATGTTAGCCTAGTGAAGACAGAATTTAGTAACATGATTGGGTTTGCATCAACAAACTGACTGCATTTTTATAAGATGAAGCAGGGCAGGGTGTCATCACCCCTAGCTCTGCGTGACCCTCTGGTGGTGCCTCATTTGCCCTAGTATTCAGCATTCCCTATGCTGATGTAGGGGAATGCAGGCAGACATGCCTGTGGATGAATGCTTGTGCATGGTCAGAGCTCACCTGGTTCAAATAAGCAGTGATGTCAGTGACTTGCAGTAGCTGAGCTTCTGGCTCATTGTTTCTCTGGGTAGTTTTTTAGTCTGATTTTTCTCACATTTAAACATGGCCCAAACCTCATAATGGTCTGCATTACAGACACCACACTCTTGCCTTTGTGCCTTCTTCTGGAATGATCTATGCATTCGGCTGTGGAACAAGAGGCCAGCTGGGAACTGGACACACTTGCAATGTTAAATGCCCATCTCCAGTCAAAGGTCATTGGGCAGCTCACAATGGGCAGCTCTCAGGGAAGCCTGGTAAGTGTTCTGCGTAGTAATGGATGTGGCACGTAAGAGATTAGCCCAGCGTGAAGTGCTCTAAAGGTGTTTTGCTTTTGGTCTTTGACTTAGTCACACTTCTCCAAAAAAGAAAAGAAAAAAAGAGGAGTCTCAGAAATGAGCTGGTGGTTTCTCATATGGTTAACCATCTCTCTCTTGCTCCTCTGCATAGCTCAGCTGCACATTAGGCTCTGCCATTGGTCTACTCTGAAACATTCACAAATCATTCTCTTACTTACTACTGGGACTTCTTAAAATTTCCCCAGTTCTGCTATAAATTGAGAATTATCACTTGCTCCAGTGGGGTTGCAGGTACTCAGTACCTCACAAGCTAAGGGCCTCTAAATAATGCATGTGTTTGTGGCTGAAACAGGCCCACAGAATGGTAGAGCAGGTGTGCACTGCCCAAGCAAAAGCCCAGGAGCAATTCTGAGAAGCAAGTTCCTCCCACTCGGTGTGTACTACAGCTTGGGAATTGGGCAGCATAATGGGTTTAGTGGAGTTGCGAGCACCTGAGTGGCAGAGCCGCAACCTAAGCTCCCTGATTTCTGGGCTTAAGTATGTGCTGAGTGGACAGGACATGCCTCTAGGTAGCACAATGAGGATTACTGTGGGCATGCTATGGGGAGGTTCCTCTGCTGTGGTTCCCCTCCTGACATGAAATGGTTTTTGTTTTATAAATAGCATAATGATCTAATGACCTAAACTCAACTGGCACCTCACCCCGGTCTTTGAGTTGTCTCAAGTCTTTGAGGTGTCTCTGTGTGACACTCACAACTTGTTGAGTTTGGCTGCTATTTATTCTGAAACCCAGAATTTTCTTTACTTTATCCATGCCTGCACCCTTTCTTAATGGGGACCCCTAAACATGTATTTATCAATTTTAATTAACAAAAACTGTCTCTTCACCAGATGCCTGTAAATATCATATTGTTAAACATATCTTCTCTGGAGGAGACCAGACATTTGTACTTTGCTCCAAGTATGAGGTAAAAATAACTATTTTCTCTCCAGTGATTGGGGGGGGGAAGGACGGGGAAGGAATTCATCTGATATTGACTCAAAGTGATGGGATTGGCTTTCTAATTACAGTTTAGCTAATCAGGCAGACAAGCCCTATTGAATTAAGAGACTTGGGGAATCTAATGCCAGGTGCACCCATGATGTGCAGCCTTGCAGTGAGAGGACTCTCTGGGTCATACAGAAGTTGCAGAAAATTCCTCAAGCTGCTTCCTCCCCTTTATGAAGGGTACAGGTGTGGATGGTTGAAAAGAGGCTCATAATTGCAGAGCAGGTCAGGAGTACTGCTTCCCTTTTGAGGTTGCCCCCTGATTAACTTCACTTGGCAGTTGCTTTCCAGGCCAGGGGTACTTAACTTTTTCTATACCATAACTACATATTACAACAGAAAAGAGCTGCAAGGCTTTACATCACCGTCTGCATACTCCTGCAGTATAACAAGCCTCTTGTTGACTTAAGTAAGCCATAGATTTTGCCCTTCACCTGTAGGCTTTGGAAGAAGAATATTTTAAGTCATGTTTCTGGCTGTATGATCCAGACTGTTGTGCATTCTGCATGTGAAAATCTGAAATACTCCTCTGTATTACTGGTAATGTTCTGTAATGACCAGGCACAGGAAATGACAAGTCTCTGCACAACGTTACACCCTTCTTAAGTGGAGATCATTTTTGCTATGTATCCAGAAACAGCTGGGAGAGGTTCAGCTCCCATCTGCACTATGGATCCCATCAAATCTGGGGGACCCAGCTGTATCACAGTCCTTAATTTTTTTTTTTCCTTCTGTGTAGAGACAACCAAAATAGCACCGTTTGAATTCCACATGTGGAATAGCAGTGAAGAAGATATTGGTCTTCACTTGATAAATGAAGGAAAGAAAAAACTGTTTGTGGTCTTTATGGATTACAAACAAGGGCTGTTTTTCAGTTGGAGGGCAGGAATTTCTGGTGCTCACTGACCTGAGTAAACAGCAGGCAGGGCCAGCTGGTGCCCTGTTGCCACATGTGTACGGTGAAGTATTGTGAACCCTGAATTCAGGGAAGCACAATGGTGACAATATTTCCCCCTCCACCTTTGGCTTTCTTGTTGCCTTAGAGAGAGATGTTATAAAGTTTCAAACACATTTCAGGCTGGATAAGTAACAAAAAATAGCAGTTTTATAAAAACTAAACCTCCTTCCAACCCTACCTCCTCTTATGGTATTCACAGAGGTTTTGCAAAATCATTTGGTACATTTTTAAGAGACTAGGTTGTCATTTCTTTTTTTTCTTCCTGCTTCCCCTTCCAGTTTTTTGTGGAGTGTCTTTCATTTGAAGATTCTCTTGGGTTGATCAATGATGATGACAGCCCTTCAGTTAAATCTGGTGAAAAACCACCCCTAAGAAACTGCTTGGGATAAATACAGAAAACAGAGAAGGGTTGTGGACAGGAGAGAACTGAATTGTATGTCTTATACTTAAACACTGAGATATGTATCTTTTCCCAGAATTCGTTGCCAGCTGATGATTTCCGGACCATAAATGAAAGCCATTATACCTGTTTAATAAATGATGAAACTATAGATGTTTGGAGACAAAACCTTTTAGAAAAAAACAGCTCTAATTCTGTCAAGTAGGTGTTACTGTACAGGTCAAAACTTTGTTTTGAACACTTTATGTTTGGTTGTGCTTATTTGTGCTTTAGGACTCGCCATTTTTGCACCCAATCTTAATTCACATTAGGAATGTCACATCAGGCCTCCCTAAAAAAAACTAGTAAAACTTTCTCAGGTTAAACTGACCTGGGGGGACACCGGACTTTAAAAGAAGCTGTTCTTTAACCCTCGGTTGCGTGGTTGCAGTTTAAAAAAATGGAAAGAAGACATTTTAAACAGCCTAATTACAATCTCTTCCATTTTCTTTCACATGAGTGAAAGGCATACTAGGCAAAAATAAGGAACTGACAACTGAATTTTGACACAAGCTTGTCTGCTAGCCTGGAGCATGAATACACGAACATAATAACTGCCATTTACTTGGTCAGGTCCATCACGTCACAATATCTCTAGCCAGGAGGTCCCCTGGGGACTGCAGGGCTACTTTCCTATCCCTGGTCCAATCCTGTCTCTGGGGAGAGTTTCATTAGGTAGTGTCCACTGGCTCCTTGGATTCATCTGAGGTCCATCAGGTATTATCCAATGTGATCTGCTCAGTGTCTCCCCTTGGCACACTACTTATAAACCTTTGACCTCTACTTCTGTCCCTGTTACGTTTTTAGTTGTCCCAAGCAATTAGTTGTTGCTTTTCTAGTGGCCTACCTTTTTAAGGGAGGCTTATAGTGTTTCTTAGCGGGCAGTGGCCCATGATCCCTGTAAAGTAGCAAGTAGGCCTGTGTTGCACAGTGGCAGAGAGTAGATGCTGAAATGGAGAATGAGCTGGGTATGGCCAGGGTTTTTTCCACTGTTCCTCTCTCATTTTCAGCCTCCAGCATTTAAACTCTAGGAAGCTCTAATTCAGAGGCTGTGTCCTTGACTCCTGTGCTCAATAGCTACTGATGCCCCTTTCCTCCAAGAATGTGTGTCCAATCTCTTTTTGAATCTGGCTGAACTGTCAGCTTCTACCATCTGGTGGCAATGAGTTCCACACTTTAATTACACACTGTGAAAAATAACTTCATTCTGTTTGTTTTAAACTTACTTACCTGCTAGTTTCATTTTGTGATCTGTAGTTCTTTTATTTATGTCCAGCAGTCTCTTTAATGCATGGTTTATATATGAGGGGATGGATTAGAGGCAAATGGGCATATTAGAAATGGGATATACAAAAATACATCATGCTCTCTATTCACACAAGCATCCCTCTTTTCTTTTGTCTGTCTGCTGCAAACAGTAATGTTGTGCAGATCCTGTCCTCTGCTGCGTGCTGGAATGGAAGCTTCCTGGAGAAGAAGTAAGTGGCCAAAGTGTATCTTTCCTGTGACAATTATCCTGTAAAGATGAAGCAGGAATCACCTGCTCCATTTGCTGTTGCATTAGGCCTTAATTCATTGGGGCTTGTCTGCCGTAATTTTCTGCCTGATCACAATGGTGACTAGAGAGATGCTCCACAGGTTAAGGATTTCTTGGAAGGAAAGGCCTCTGACTTGAGAAGTGACTTTGTAAGTGTGGTATTTGGTGTCATTAAGAGGTCACAGTGAAACTCCTAGGATTTCAATATCCAAAATGGCATATTAAATATTGCTCACCCATCTTAGAAGTTTGAGAGGACAAAAGTCTCAGAGTTACAGAGGTGCAGGGTGCAGTCCAGAGGAGAGGCAGATCAGCATGGTGCCCAGCCCACCCTGTCTCCTGCCTCCAGCTGCTGCTCAGGAGGAGCTGGGCTGGGCATATGCAGGTGGGGTGGTACCTGCTGCAGTCTGCGTGCCTTGTTCCCACACAGCAGCAACAGTGCCTGCCAGCCTGGCACACCGTGCTGCTCTGCCTCTGCTAGATTGTGCCCTGCAGTCCTGCCTGCCTACCTCTGCAGGCAGCAGCATCACTGACTTGGGGCAGGTAGGGCAGTGTCCTGGATTTCCTTAAAAATAATAAGGTCACCTTACTTGTAGTGAAATGGGGTTAATATGGGTAGGTCCTTTTAAGTACAAGGAAGTAGTTCCACTTTGGGGACATCACTCCTGGAAAGTCCTGGGCTCCTGCTTATGAAAGCTGTGAATTCAGGGAAAAGGTGGCCAAGATAGTAAAGGATGAAAGCATAAGATCCATGATGGGAGACTAAAGGAATTTAATGTACGAACCTAATGAAAAGATCAGGGTGTGTTGGAAGGATGAGGTTGATGACTACTGTGTGTATAAACTGTTAGGAGGTAAAAGCAAAAATGAAGAGGAAGAATCTTATTGATGACCTGATGAGTAATGGCCTGCAACCAGGTGAAGGTACACGTTCCATCGTGCAAATCTTTCGAAGAGCAGGTCAAACTAGATGGAAAAACTGACTGGCCATTTGTTCCTCCTCTTTCTTTTACTGACACAATGACTTCCATATTGTAGGTAGCCAGCATGCAGTTATGTCAGGAGTATGGAGGTGTGGAAAGCAGATTTAATTTAAAATATAAACAATTTGCTACAAATTAATGATGTTTAGTAACAGAAGCTTGTGGGAGGGTGGAGGTGAAAGCTGTGGCTGATGTACCCTAATACAATACCCTTCCAAAACTGGAGGACCAGAGCTAATAATGAATTACATTGACCAGTGATTTAACATTTGTGAAAACTGCTGTAATCTGTGACCAAAATGATAGCTAAATACTGGAATTTGGTTGTCTTTGTAACCCTTATAATGTGAGGTGTGACTATACTTAAAATGCCTAACTTCAGACGAACAGCATAAACATTTGAATCCATTTGAGAAATATACCCTAGTGCATTGTTCCTGATGTCTTAGCTCAGAGGGCAGCTTAGGATCGCTGTAACACTGCAAAGCATAGACCTAAAAGAAGGTAGTTTTTTCTGAGGCCCTTTGCCCAGACTTCTACACAGTCATCGTGGATCCTGTATGCACATGCAGCACGTGCCCTGGACCAGCCCAGGCGCTGTGTGCAGCCTGAGATAAACAAGCTCCATGTGCAGTGTAAAGGACCAGAGCCAGCACATTCTGCATATAGAGACAAGGGCCTGTCTGAAATGTACAGGCAGCACTGTGGGCTGCATCTTTGGCATCTCTGATTGAATATGTAAGGTTATGGATGACTGGCTATCATTTTTCTCTGGGGAAATTCTTGGTACTTGTGTTTGGGATTTATAGAATTGTGGGAGTTTTTTTATTTTTAGCAGCAAGGTTTTACAGCTGTTCTGTCTGGAAGAGACATTGCTGGAAGCGTGTGCTACAAACCATTAATCTTGTTCTAGATGCTGAGTTAGAGTGCTTTTTAGCTGTATTGCAGGAAGTTCCAGTGCCTACACAAGCCTTTTAGAATATTCATCCTCTGTATACTTGGCTTCTGTATATCTTTAGCTTGGGTAATACGAAGTAAAAATAAAGCTTTTTACATACAAAAATGCCTAGCAGGAAAAGCGGATTTGCGGTGCCATCTACTTCCAACTGAAAACCATAGGCAAACTCGTCTTAACTGTGCTGGGAGTTTGATTTGGACCTTGATTAGAAAATATAGGGCTAAGAAATTCAGATGAATCTAACAAAGGTTGGCTGTACGAGTTGAGGGTCTAGCTCTCAGGCTATTTTGAAAAATCCAAGCTTATTTCCTTTGAAATATGTCATGTGATCTCTTTATGAATGACCAGTATCTTTGTGTATAAGCCTATACCACCCTACCACCCTTTTAAAAAGGCCTCTGTTGAAATGTGTATAGAAATGAGGAACACGGGGTCTCTTGCTACTCATAGTTGGAGTTGTACAACTGTAATTACCAGTCCTAGAATCAAAAGTGAGTGGGCAGACCCTTTGGCGTATGTGAAGTCCCCCTGAATTCAGTAGGATGGGACAGGATTGACCCAGGATAATCCCCATTCTCTATTTGGGATCCCTGAACTGTTCCCTTTTGATATATTTTCTATTTTGCATTAATGTATTTGGCTAGGCATTCCATGGTAGTTTTTAGTTTTGATGTTTCTCTATCTGCAGATAAATTCTTGACTGGTGCTCTAAGCCCAGGCATCTACAAAGGGTAATCTCATATCTTTACTCAACTCACATCTTTCTCTGGTGGGGGCTTGTTTTGTTGGGTTTTTTTAGAATTGATGAGCACTTTAAGACCAGTCCTAAAATCCCAGGGATAGACCTGAATTCCACGCGAGTGCTGTTTGAGAAGCTAATGAACTCTCAGCATTCTCTTCTACTAGACCAGGTATTCATGTCAAGATGGCGTCTAAATATTCTTGAATGGCAACTTCACAGTGCTGGGAAAGAGAAAAGGGTGTGTATGTATGTGCATGTGCTAAACACGGCTTCTCTCTGTAGAACATACTGTTGCTTACTTACGGCTTTTCTCTGGAGGGATTAATTAAAAACTATGGGGCTGATTCTCAGCTGTTGTAAATTGGGCTAGCCCTAAAAAGCCCAGCAGAGCTACACTGTCTTTCACCTGGTGAGAATCTAGCTCTACAATTGCTTTTTAAAAAATGTTTGCCACATGGTGAAATTAAGTGTGAATGTGATATGTGCACAAACCAGAAATGCTTGCTAAACCTCTCATTCTGTAAATTTATCTGTTTGAACTTTTTAGCAAAGATATAACAAAGAACTCATGAAACGAGGACTTCACAGAATGTGAACTAGTAAACTGAATTGTCCTGTACAGTGAAAATACCCAACTATTGTTGTGTTGCAGGGTTTTTGTTTTTTGAACTTCAGTATTTGCTTACCTGTTGCTTAACAAGATTTGATCTCTCACGTCAGTCTCTCTTATTAGATCCCCACTGTTTTTTACTGTTGTGTGCACTCTTCAGTCAAAAAAAAAAAAAAAAAAAAAAATTTTT